CAGCTGTCATTCTAGTTCCAGCACGGCCAGCCTGCTGACGACCGTGTCTCCTCAGGTCCTTCTAAACCAGCTCCGAGCTGTGTTTGACCAAATCCTTGAGCTGCAGAGTGCCCAGGACACCATCTACAGGGCTGCCCTGGAGGAGCTGCAGAGGCGCCTGCAGTTCGAGGAGAGAAAGAAGCAGCGAGAAGAGGAGGTATGGCTTTCGCACTGGGGCTGTGTCTGTTGAGGAAGTGGTCAAACCAGCACGTGGCCATTTTGCCGCAGTCCCCCTCATGCTCAGCCTTGCTTGTGGCTGTGTCATGGTCCTGCGGAAGCCATCGAGGGGTCCCAGTGGGTGGTGCCTTCCAGGAGGGGGCCCAGTGCTGCTGCGCTGTGTGAGAGCTGCTGGCCGTGTGCACACAGGAGCTCAGCTCTGTGCAGGGCAGCTCACGTGAGGGGAAGAGGCGTGTGACCTTCTGACCATGCCACAGTGGACCAGTTCTGATCAGGATTGCCGGAGACGTGGCTGGGTGGCTTGCCTACTGACAGTGGCTGAGTCCTACAGAGCAGCCCCGGGGGCCAGGGTCAGAGAGCTGGGCTCTCCCAGGCCGGACCAGCCTTTTCCACATTCCATTCCAGAAGCACCCTGAAGCTGGAATCAAAACCTGGGAAGAAGGAAGCAGTTCTGGACAAATCTTAAATAACTTGTGGGTGAAAAACCCTAACGATTGAAAAGGACAAATGCCAGGGCTCAGGAATCAAGTGATGTAACATACCGTGGCATTTGATAAATGATTTCGTGATATGTCTCTTGTCGGCTAGCAGGCTCAGATTGGCCACTGACTGCAGAAATTGTCTTACGCGTAGACACATGTTGCCAGAGGGTAGGGAAATGTACGCTGCTTCAAGGGGTCAAGGAGGGCAGGCCTGAGGGTGCCCGCCTGGGACCTGTGGTCCTCCAGTGGATGGTGTGGCCTGAGAGTGCCCGCCCTGGGACCTGTGGTCCTCCAGTGGATGGTGTGGCCTCAGGGTGCCCGCCCTGGGACTCTGGTTTCTCTTCATTGGAAGATGTGCAGGGAATGCAGAGGCCCCAGGAATGCACTGCGTGTAACTGATAACTGGTGCTGTGTCTGGTCAGGATGGCAGCTCCACCTGCTCCAGGGGTTCCTATCAGGGTACTGTGGGGTCATCCCTGGAGAGCGTGGAACTTGTCCCGGTGTGGTGGGCAGCACAGCAATGTTGGTTGGGTTCCCTCTGAGACGCTCGGTGCGTGCACTTGGTTTTGCAGGGCCAGTGGGGAGTCACGGCGGAGGAGGAGGAGGAGGAGAACAAGCGGATTCGAGAATTCCAGGAATCCATCCCCAAAATGTGCTCACAGTTACGAATACTGACACATTTCTACCAGGTACGTCTGTGTGCCAGCACCGTCCACACCACAACGCAGCAGAGCAGGGAGGACGCCCACCCCTTGTGCCCCGTTGCTTCCCATCTTGGCAACATGTTGGCTTCCCCAGGGCGAGCTGTAGGCTGCATCCTTGGTCCTAGGAGTTCTGGGAGTCCTGGTCTCATTTGGAAGCCCATAGCCCCGTGCTTGTCAGCATGTCAAGTGGACAGCACCCTGACAGTCACAGGCTGCAGCCAGCCCCAGTGCAGGTGGCTCTTGGGTGGCTCCCCACCAGCCAGGGTCTCTCCTGGGTCTTGCTTCATTTGTGTCTCAGGGCAGTTTTCGTGTCAGGTATGCGGCCTCATCCACTGGTGTTTCTGTCCTAGCTGTTGAGGAATCCGGGTTTTCCATGGCAGTGACACTAATTTGTATTCCTTCCAAGAGTCCGCATCCTCTTCAGCCCTAGTTGTCTGGTCTCCTTGCTGGCAGTCAGTGGGCCTGGAGCGGGACGGCGGCTCTGTCATTCGGATTGCCACCTCCTGGCTGTCAGTGGGCCTGGAGGGGACGGCGGCTCTGTCATTCGGATTGCCACCTCCTGGCAGTCAGTGGGCCTGGAGCGGGACGGCGGCTCTGTCATTCGGATTGCCACCTCCTGGCTGTCAGTGGGCCTGGAGGGGACGGCGGCTCTGTCATTCGGCTGCCACCTCCTGGCGGTCAGTGGGCCTGGAGGGGGACGGTGGCTCTGTCATTCGGATTGCCACCTCCTGGCGGTCAGTGGGCCTGGAGGGGACGGCGGCTCTGTCATTCGGATTGCCACCTCCTGGCTGTCAGTGGGCCTGGAGGGGACGGCGGCTCTGTCATTCGGATTGCCACTTCCTGGCGGTCAGTGGGCCTGGAGGGGGACGGCAGCTCTGTCATTCGGCTGCCACCTCCTGGCGGTCAGTGGGCCTGGAGGGGGACGGTGGCTCTGTCATTCGGATTGCCACTTCCTGGCGGTCAGTGGTGTACAACTCTTGTTGCCCGGTTGCGTGTTTCCTTTGAGGTGTTGAGAGCCACCACAATATTCTAATTATCACCTTTTGGTCAGCTGTTCCTCTGCTGAGGACCGTCTGTGTTCCAGAACATGTCCCTGAGCCTTTGCTCTCATCTGTCCTGCTGCTCTGTGTGTCTGCTCTTTGCCAGGACTTTGTCTTGATTGCTTCAGCTTTGTAGTTTGTTTGGAATTCAGGTGCTGGATGTCCTCTGCCTCGTAAGTGCTGGAGATCGCTTTGGCTGTCTGATGGGTCTTCTGGGGTCCTGTACAAATTTTAATAGTATTTCTCCTAGTCATTTGACAAATGTCATTGGCATTTTTATAGGGATTTTTATTTGTGAGTCAGTCAGTTTGGGGAGTTGTGGCCCTGAGCTCTGTACATGGCTTTGCTCTTGGCTTCCTTGTAGAACTTGGGGACAAAGCGGAAATCCCTTTGGTCAATGTGTTCATGGCTTATATTTGTAAGAATATTAACTCTTCCTGACACAACTGCGCTGGCCTCATGGATAGGAGACCTCACTGGCACACATGCAAAGCCAGCTGCGGTGGGTGCCTGGTGGGTGTCTGTCTGCAGCTTGTTGTGTGGGACTTCGTGGGGGGTGTCTGGATGGCACTTGCTGACCGGGCGTCACGTGTGGGGCCGTGGCTGGTGTCTGGATGGCACTTGCTGACAGGGTGTCACGTGTGGGGCCGCGGGGCGGGTGTCTGGATGGCACCACCTGACACGAGTGTGTTCCTGTCCATCAGGGCATCGTGCAGCAGTTCCTGGTGTTGCTGACGACCAGCTCCGATGAAAGCCTCCGGTTTCTCAGCTTCCGGTTGGACTTTAACGAGCACTACAAAGCCCGGGAGCCCCGCCTGCGTGTCTCGCTGGGCAGCAGAGGACGACGCAGCTCCCACACGTGAGGGACCTGCAGGGGCTGCTGCGTGGAGCGCGTGGGACGTGCAGTGGACCCATCCGTTCTTGAGGCACCTGGAATGCCGCAGGTGCTCAGGGTCTGTGCTTGCGTGCTTCCACACTCCCACAGCGTGTCCAGTGTGGGAGTGGACTGTGTATCCACAGAGCTGAGCAGGCTGCCACACTGTCTGTGAGGGACGTGTGATGCTTGGGCGTTCTGTTTGTCACTTTTTCCAAGTCTCTTTCTTTTAGAGAAGATTAGGGTGATAGAATATTCACCTGCCAAAATGGTGATGTCATTGCTATTTTTTTAACATCCTCTTTAGGGCACTTTTGTTAATGTAATCAAATTGTTACAAAATGTCCTTGCTAAGGAACTGAGAGAGCGTTTTATTTTAGTTTTTTAGTGTTATAAAATATTAACCTGAATAAGGACCTTTGTATCTTAATGTACCTTACATATGCTTATTTTTACTTTGTCTTCTTTCAAAGTTTACATTTTATATTTAATTTGCTATTTCAGATACTTTGTAAGGAGTGTAGGGAACGTGTGAGAGAGTGTGGAGATGCAGAGTGGATGGTCTGGCAGCCTGGGCGGTGCCAGCCCAGAAGCAGGGGTGAGGGGTGTGAGTTGAGGTCTGGCAGCCTGGGCGGTGCCGGCCCAGCAGCAGGGGTGAGGGGTGTGAGTTGAGGTCTGGCAGCCTGGGCGGTGCCGGCCCAGAAGCAGGGGTGAGGGGTGTGAGTTGAGGTCCTGATGCGTTTGCAGACACTGACCTGGGAGTGCAGTCCCTTTCCTTCCTATTTTTTCATTGTAAATACTTTTATCAACATCCAGCCAGATGTTGGGGGAACTGTTTTTGTAAAAATGTCACACGGACCACATAAATCTGCTTTTATTATGTTGCGTAACTGAGAACTTAGAGTTAAACACAATTATTGTCCAACTGCACCCGTAATTTCTTGGTGAGTCTGTGCCAGGTCAGGTGAGGGTGGCTGGAACTGAGCGCCTGTGCTGAGGCATGGGGATGGCACACGGCACACGTGGCGCTTTTGAGATGGTCTTCGGCCCTCTGAAAGCACGGATGATCTGCATGCGTAGGGTTCTCAACTGTCAGTCCTCTGAGACCACGTCTGTCTCAGCCTCCGGCACGGTGTCCTGAGCCTTGGCTTCTGGCTTCCCAGCCTGGGCAGTGCTCAAGGATGCCTAGGAGCTGAGTGCCTCTGCCTCCAGTCACCAGACAAAAAGCCAGGGAGCACACATTGCACCTCCTGGGACATGGGACTGGTTGTGGCTGAGGGGGGCAGCCGCCATGCTGTGGGTGGGCATAGCACAGGCACCTGAGTTTGCCATGACATCATGGGGCGTTGGGCCTGACCCAACAAAGTCTCATGGACCTGGCTGCCCTGGCTGTGCCTGCTTTAGGGTCCTGCTAGGTGTGCCCATGTGCCTGTCTCAGCTCTGTCATACCGCTGCGTGCAGGCCATGTGTCCTGGGCCATGTACGCTGTGGGACTGTTGTGTCGTGTGTGTGTGTGCCATGGTGTCCCCATGCCCCTCTCTGGACAAGCAGAACATGCTGGCACCCTGTCTCCTTGCTTGTCTTGTTTCTTCTTCTTGTTTCCCATACTTAAAACACAAAAAACCCAGAAACCCACGCCCGCCCCTGCTGGTCCCGTAAATAACCACATCCCTTCGGGAGTGTGTGAATCAATAGTGGCCTTTATGTGGGTGTGGGTTATATTCCTAAGGAGGGTTGGGGAGGGTTCCGAGTGGTGCTGGGCTCTAGGGGCCCCTCGATGATGCCACACTGCTCGAACCCCCGTGTCAGCTCAGTCCCCTCTCGTCTTCACTGGAAAGTGTTTCCTGTTTGGGAAAAGAAGATTCCTTATGAATGTCCGAGGGTGCTCACAGCTCCCACGAGGCCGGACCATCCTGCCTGGCAAGCAGTGCCCCTGCTGCTCAGATTTAAAAAGCTGGCAGCACATTTCCTATGGGCTCTGGTAACTGCTGACTGCAACTCCACGTGGCCCAGGCAGGCGTGTGACGTGCAGCTGTGACGTTACAGGTGTGTGTGCAGCTGTGACATCACAGGCGTGCACGCAGCTGTGACATCACAGGAGTGCGTGCAGCTGTGACGTCACAGGTGTGCGTGTAGCTGTGATGTCACAGGTATGCAGCTGTGATGTCACAGGTATGTGCAGCTGTGACATCACAGGCGTGTGCAGCTGTGACATCACAGACGTGCACAGCTGTGACGTCACAGGCGTGCGTGCAGCTGTGACGTTACAGGCATGTGTGCAGTTGTGACATCACTGGCGTGCGTGCAGCTGTGACATCACAGGCGTGCGTACAGTTGTGACGTCACAGGCGTGCATGTAGCTGTGATGTCACAGGCGTGCGTGTAGCTGTGATGTCACAGGCGTGCGTGTAGCTGTGATGTCACAGGCGTGCGTGTAGCTGTGATGTCACAGGCGTGTGCAGCTGTGACGTCACAGACGTGCGTGCAGCTGTGACATCACAGGCGTGCGTACAGCTGTGACGTCACAGGCGTGCGTACAGCTGTGACGTCACAGGTGTGCGTGTAGTTGTGATGCCACAGGCGTGTGCAGCTGTGACATCACAGGCATGTGTGCAGCTGTGACATCATAGGCATGCGTGCAGCTGTGACATCACAGGTGTACGTGTGCACAGCTGTGACGTCACAGGCGTGCATGCAGCTGTGATGTCACAGGTGTATGTGTGCACAGCTGTGACGTCACAGACATGTGATTTGCAGGTTTTTGACCTGCACGTGTGCGCAGGGCCCCACCCTGGCCTTCAACACCAACATTAACCACCAGTCTCCCCTGAGAAGCTGGAAGAATGCCTGGATTTGCCCACTGCACCCTAGTCTGGCACTCCTTGCTTCAGGGGCTCCTATGCTGACACGACTGATGCTGGAGTGAGGACTCGAAGGTTGATGACTGCCTGAGGCCCAGGGACGGGCTATAGAGTGGAAGCTGCTGCCCACGCCCTGCCAAGTGGATACCCAGCCCTGCAGTGGCCCTCTCCTCCCCTCGTATGAATTCGATCAGGTGTACCTGGTGATCGGCCTACGTTTTGAAGGATTTTGTCCAGATCAGACAGCTTGTAGTATGGATCGTCTTTTGAATTTTTCTTCTCTGTGGAAGGACAAAGTTGAAAGTGAAGGAAAAAAAGTGAGAAGGCCTGGGACCATGGTGTCCAACAAACCCCTCCTCCTGTCTGTTGGAGAACTGAGAGAACAGAGGTGTGTGGGGAGGAGAGAACAGGGGTGTGGGCAGGAGAGAACGGGTGTGGGGAGGACAGAACGGGTGTGGGGAGGACAGAACAGGGGTGTGGGGAGGACAGAACAGGGTGTGGGGAGGACAGAACAGGGTGTGGGGAGGACAGAACAGGGTGTGGGGAGGACAGAACGGGTGTGGGGAGGACAGAACAGGTGTGGGGAGGACAGAACAGGGTGTGGGGAGGACAGAACAGGGGTGTAGAGCCTGTGAGCTCTTGTTGGGGATACGAGTACCAAAGCCATAGGTGGAGTTGGAGCTGGCAATTTGGAACGGCCCAAGTGGGCCAAGGAGGTAGGGAGACAGTTAGTGTGCTACAGGGGTCACTGGGCCCTGTGTTGGCTGCGGAATCTCCTCAGGAATGGATCAGCAGCAGAACTCTTCTGTCCACGCTTGCAGCTGCCCCATGGTGTCATTCACACGCCAGGAACCCAGCTGGATGGTACCCAACCAGCAGTGACAGAACTTGTGCGCGATGGTGATGCCACAAGGAAGAAGGGTGCCTGAGCCGGCGTGCATGTTGTAGCCACCTGGCAGGTGTCCAGGTAGGTGTCCTGCTCACTGATGTACTACTGACTCAGGAGACTGTAGGCCCAGCACCCAGTAGGGTGGTGCCTCTCTGTTGTGAAGAGCAAGTGCCATGTCCTGTCTGTGGGGACAGTGACAGGAAACCATGCCTTTGCTGGGACTGTGTGCTGAGAATTTGCACAGCTGGTCACTGAGGGGTGACTCTGTGTGGCGCAAGGTGGAGGTGGCCAGCAGTGGAATGTGCGTCTCTGATGGGCGGGGGGTGCATGGCATCCCCTGCTGCCAGAGCCTGAATACCCTCCACCAGCCAGTACTGGGGCTGACCTGGAGGACAGCAGCCACTCCTGCTGCATGGCCGTCCCTGTGGCTCCGCGTGGCTCTGGGCCTCAGGGTGCCTGAAGACGGGATGACAGGGACAGGAGTGGTGTCTTCAGCCAGGGTACCCAGGGCTTCAGCACCCCCAGCAGCCAACAGAGGCAGGGCCATGCCCTGTCGGGCTCCGGATGACCCAGCCCCGTGGACACCTGCGCTGGAGCCCGGCCACACAGGCATGCACAGCCCATGCTGTGGTGGGAGGCTGATCCGCCGCATAGATGGATGATAAGCGGCAGGAAGCAAGATGGCTCCCTCAGAGCCAGCGTGCGTAGGATGCCAGGGCCGGCGCTGTACATGGGGTCTCTGCAGAGACCACAGGCCCAGATCGGGGTGGGAGCACCTGTGCCCAGGGCGATGGGTTAGGGTGAGGAGGAACTGAGGTGAGGAGGAGCTGAGGTGAGGAGGAAGAGGAGCTGAGGTGAGGAGGAAGAGGAGCTGAGGTGAGGAGGAAGAGGAGCTGAGAGGAGCTGAGAGGAGCTGAGAGGAGGAGGAAGAGGAGCTGAGGTGAGGAGGAAGAGGAGCTGAGGTGAGGAGGAAGAGGAGCTGAGAGGAGCTGAGAGGAGGAGGAAGAGGAGCTGAGGTGAGGAGGAGGAAGAGGAGCTGAGGTGAGGAGGAAGAGGAGCTGAGGTGAGGAGGAAGAGGAGCTGAGAGGAGCTGAGAGGAGGAGGAAGAGGAGCTGAGGTGAGGAGGAGGAAGAGCAGGAGGAGGAGCTGAAGTCAGGGGGAGGAGCTGAGGTGAGGAGGAAGAGGAGCTGAGAGGAGGAGGAGCTGAGGTGAGGAGGAAGAGGAGCTGAGTGAGGAGGAAGAGGAGCTGAGTGAGGAGGAGGAGGAGCAGGAGGAGGAGCTGAAGTCAGGAGGAGGAGCTGAGGTGAGGAGGAAGAGGAGCTGAGGTGAGGAGGAGGAGCAGCTGAGGGGAGGAGGAGGAGCTGAGGTGAGGAGGAGCTGAGGGTTTGTTGGGGAGGGGCCAGCCACACCCCATCCGCAATGCTGAGCCCTCCTCGGTTGGGGGCATGTGCAATGCAGGATGCCTTTGCCTGGGTCCCCTGAGCCATTAGAACAGTGACTGGTGGGGGGCAGGCGGTGGCACCCCCAGACTCCTCATCCTCTCGAAAGCACCCCAGGCCTTGGTCAGAGCAGATCGGGCTGGTTTGGGAAGTCCTGGTTTTCTCCGCAGGTCAGATGGCTTCTTCCAGCAGAGGTCTTCCTGTCAGTCTTCTAGGTGACAGCTGGGACTGGGGGAGGATTCCGAGCGGACAGTGGCCTCGCTGTGTCCTGAGGCGCTGTGGGACACGCACGTGCTCATGCTGCTGTGTGCCTTGAGAAAGTGCCCCTCCTCGGCCGGCTCGGTGCTTCACCCCACTTGCATGCTGACCCGAGTGGCCCCTGCGTCCATTGTCCTATGTGCATGGGGGGCCTCTTCCCTTGTCCATTCAGTATGTGTGTGCCTCTGTGTCCTGTGTGTGCACGTGAGCATGTGTGTGTCCTGTGTGCATGTGTGTCTGTGTGTGCCTGTGTGTCCTGTTGTGCCTGTGAACCTGTGTGTCTGTGTGTGCCTGTGTGTCCTGATGTGCCTGTGAGTCCTGCTGTGCCTGTGAGCATGTGTGTGTCCTGTGAGTCCTGTTGTGTCTGTGTGTGCCTGTGTGTGTCTGTGTGTGCCTGTGTGTCCTGTTGTGTCTGTGTGTGCCTGTGTGTCTGTGTGTGCCTGTGAGTCCTGTTGTGTCTGTGTGTGTCTGTGTGCCTGTGTGTACCTGTGTGCTTGCATGTGCCTGTGGCCCTCTCCTTGCTGGGTCTTGCTCCCCAAGCCAGCCCGCCTGTGTGCACTGGCACTTGATGGGGGTGTGTGGCCCGGGCCCTGGTCTCCAGGCTGGGCAGCCCCAAGTTTCCTGTCACCAGCTTGCTCAGGTCAGTTTATGTCTATGATGGCTGCTTTGAACCAGTGTTTTCAGACAAGTCCCTTGTAACACAGCTTTTAGGTGCTTTTATTTTTTTCTTTCTTAAAGAAGAAAATGTTCAACTCTTGAGTGGAAACTTGCAATGAGAGACATAGGCCGGTGATGCGAAGGGCCACTCCGGGCGTGCTGGCTGTTTCTTGAGAGGGCGGGCCGCCTTGACCCCAGGACCCAGCTGCTGAGCCCCCAGTACCCAGCTGCTGAGGAGTGGGATGGGGCCTGGTGTCTGCAGCCCGCCGTCGCCTCTCCTGACAGGGGCAGGAGGAAAGCCTCGCTCTGGCTGACCTCGGGGCCTTGCCTTGGGTGGACAGGTAGTCTCTGGCGGGCTAATTGCCCACAATTCCAAGGCACCAATCTCGGTGAGCAGGGCCGGGCGCCTGGTGAGCTGTGGCTGGGATGTCTGGGGCAACAGGCTATTGGGGTGATGGGGCGGAAGGGCCAGCTTGCTGCCTTGGAGCTCCGCATTCATTCTCCCTTCCAAAGGTCCCAGTTGTTGCCTTCTGCGGGCCTTGGTGCTGGCCGGGGCTGCAGGAGCCCACGCCCTCTGCTGCTGCTGCCTTCGCTGCTCCCTGTCCTCGGCGGGGCGTGTTTCACAAGCGGCTGTGGCGCGGGGCAGAATTTGCCATTTCCTTTCATGTCTCCCGTCTCCACGCTTCGCATTTGTTTGTGCAATTACCGCTCAGGCTGTGGAACGCAGCTCAGTATTTCTAATTTTGCAGATCTGCTAACAATGTGGTCTCTGGGCTTTTGTTTGTGAGGAATCTTACTTTGTCTTTGTTGTTTGTCAGACATTTTCCCTGAGTTGACAACTCTGGGGTGCAGCGTCGGCTCACACTCCCCATTGTTCTCCTGGCCGCAGCCTCGGACTCGCTTGACTGCGGGCGCTGCTTGCTCGCTTCTGAGCAAAGTTCTGTCCTCTTCTCCTGCAGCTGCTTGCGGGCTGCACTGTTTTAAAATGTTGGGCAACTGGAATACAGCATGCCTTGAAAGCCATGTGTGATGCAGGATGTGTATGTGTTGTGTGGTGCATCTGTGTGAGGTGAGTGCTGTATGCGTGTGCATGTGTGGTGTGTGCAGTGTGGTGTGTGCAGTGTGTGCACACACGACTGACGTGTGTGGTATGTGCAGTGTGGTGTGTGTACACTCATGATTGGTATGTGTGGTGTGTGCAGTGTGGTGTGTGCACGCACACGACTGATGTATGTGGTGTATGCAGTGTGATGAGTGTAGTCTGTACACATGGCTGACGTGTGGTGTGTAGTCTGTACACATGACTGACGTGTGGTGTATGCAGTGTGTGTGCACGCACATGACTGAGGTATGTGGTGTGTGCAGTGTGATGAGTGTAGTCTGTACACATGGCTGACGTGTGGTGTGTGCAGTGTGGTGAGTGTGTGTACACGCATGACTGTGAAGTGTATGCTGTATGCAGTGTGATGAGTGTAGTGTGTACACATGACTGACGTGTGTGGTGTATGCAGTGTGATGAGTGTAGTGTGTACACATGACTGACGTGTGTGGTGTATGCAGTGTGATGACTAGTCTGTACACATGGCTGACATGTGGTGTGTAGTCTGTACGCATGACTGACGTGTGGTGTATGCAGTGTGGTGTGTGCACGCACACGACTGATGTATGTGGTGTATGCAGTGTGATGAGTGTAGTCTGTACACATGACTGACGTGTGGTGTATGCAGTGTGTGTGCACGCACATGACTGAGGTATGTGATGTGTGCAGTGTGATGAGTGTAGTCTGTACACATGGCTGACGTGTGGTGTGTGCAGTGTGGTGAGTGTAGTGTGTACACATGACTGACGTGTGTGGTGTATGCAGTGTGGTGTGTAGTCTGTACACATGACTGACGTGTGGTGTATGCAGTGTGGTGTGTGCATGCACACGACTGACGTATGTGGTGTGTGCAGTGTGATGACTGTAGTCTGTACACATGACTGTGACGTGTGTGTGGTACTTCTGTTTGATGGCTGTCGCTGTCCCTGCCTGAGCATCTTGCTCCTGCAGCGTGAGCCTGGGGCGTCCTCAGCCACTGCCCCGCCGTGTGTCTCCTCCCCACTTCTGTCTCCGTGAGCCCCTCCTCAGGCCGACGAGTCCTCTAGGGATGCTGCTTTGCGTGTCTGGGTCTGCTGACCTCCCTGCCCTCTGTCGCATGCCTGCTTCTCACATCACTGTGACCTTTAACCTGCTGACCACTGCAGCACCAACACCTCCAGTGCGTGGGGCATCCCTTCTCACTTCTGTTTCCTGCATGGAGGCACCTTCCCGCCATGCCTGGGCCTCAGCTGGAAGACGTGCCACAGTCCCTGAGGGCAGGGTCGGGGCCTCTCAGCATGGCCGAGGCCCAGGCAATCAGCTGGAGCCCGGTCCAACTGTGCGTCCTCCTCCGTGTGCATCAACCCTGGCTTCCCTGGGCACGTCCGGCGTCATGCCGACATCATGCCAGCATCGTTGAGCTGCCCAGGCTTGGCATAACGCCCCGGCAGACTCAGCACTGGGGCGGGTGCCCGGGGCTGTGGTTTGGATGTCATCGAGACCACCCACATCATGGATCCTGGTGCCTGGGTCCAAGTCCCCACTCCCTCCTGAGCCCGGCCTTCTGGCTGATGTTTGGGGGGCTGCAGGTCCTAGCTGTGAGGACCCTGGCAGAGTGCCTGGGCAGCCCCTGCTGTTGAAGGTGTTTGTGGGGGTGAGCCAGCAGTTGAGGGGTACTGTCTCAGTTTTGACCCCAGCTTCTCACCAGCACACACCCTCAGAGACAGCAGGCAGTGCCTCAACGGCTGGGACCCCTGCTACTGGGGGAGACCTGGAGGCAGCTCCTGGATTTAGTGTGGCCAGGCTCCTGCGACTGCGGCCGTGTGTGCCATCTCCTTCTGTGTGCGAGTGTACGTGTGACTGTGTGTGAACATATGGGACTCTGTGTGTGAGTGTGATTGTGTGTGGCTGTCTGTGTGTGTGACCATGTGGGACTGTTTATGTGTGTGGCTGTGTGACTGTCTGTGAGTGTGTGTGACTGTGTGAGTGTGCGTGGCTGTGTGTGTGTGCGTGGCTGTGATTGTGTGTGACTCTGTGAGTGTGTGACTCTGTATGTGGCTATGTGTGACCTTGTGTGACTGTGTGTGACTGAGTGGCTGTCTGTGACTGTGTGTGACCTTGTGTGACTGTGCGTGACTGTGTGGCTGTCTGTGAGTATGCATGACTGTGTGTGAGTGTGCGTGACTGTGTGGCTGTGATTGTGTGTGGCTGTGTGTGACTCTGTGAGTGTGTGACTCTGTATGTGGCTGTGTGTGACTCTGTGTGACTGTGTGTGACCTTGTGTGACTGTGTGTGACCGAGTGGCTGTCTGTGACTGTGTGTGACTATGTGTGCCTCTTGAATGAAACTCTACCTCATGTGTGGTAAAGTCCTGTTTTCCCTGGGTGGGTGTCATCCAGCGACACCTTTGGGCTCGCAGCATCATTAAGGTCTTGGGCAGCCTCAGCTTCTGCTACTGAACGCTGCCAGCTGAACTGTCTCCCCTTTTTGGAACGCCCTCAAGTCTTACGTGGCCTGCTGCAAAGCTGGCTACTCAGGGTGTTTTCACCTGCGCCCCTGGCCCAGGAGCTTCGCTTTCCTCCTCCGTTGCGTCTAAGAGTCTTTAACCTAGAGCAGCTAAGGACGTGCAACTGCTAGTGTTTCTGATGCAGACATCCCAAGTGAGGCGGTCATCTCCGCCCAGGCCCTGGAGCTGGAGGTCCTGGAGGCTGTCGAGCTCTGTGCCTGCCAGGCCTTCCACGTGGGGTGAGCCTGAGGGAGCCCGACAGAACTGAGAGACTGGGGTGATGCCGTGTGTCTGCTGGACCCAAGCGTGCCTGCCTGGACGCAGGGTTACATGCACCTGATAGTCCACTCGGGGGCCAGGGGAAGGTGGAGCTGTGGTGAAAGAACGCTGCTGGTCGGCACCTGCGTGCCTCGCGCTGGTCCCCAGCACGTCGGACATGCTGTGGGAGTGCATTGGAAGCCCTGTGGCACCTGACACACCTCTGCAGGGGAAGGCCCTGGGTGCCTGGGCTGTGACCCGGGGTCCCCCTCACCTGTGGAAGACAGCTGTGGTTCGTGGTAGGTCTCCGCAGTGACCCCTGTGTGGGCGTTCTCGTCCGTGCTGACTTCTTCAATGTAGAGCGTGGGAAAAACAGGGAAGTCGTGTTGGCCACTCCCTCGGGGATGGCTCGTGTTTCTAAAATGAGGACTCTGATCCTCGCGCATCAGCGGTCTTCTTTGAGAACTCGGGTAAGTCGGCGTGCCCATCATCCCAGTGTGGACACACCTGTCCACGTGGGTGCTTGTGAGCTGGCCACTCTGTGGGGATTTACCTGGCGATCCCTCTGCAGTAACTTGCAGTCACTGCCCCGCCCCATGCTCACAGCCCCTTCAGTGTGAGACGAGCACATTTGTGTTTTGTCGAGTGTTGGACACCCTCGGTGCCGGACCAGAGTCGGACTGAAGGCACAGTTCTGGGGCCCCAGAGCAGCCAGGGGCCGGGAGCAAGCATTTAATCAGCTCTCCGCTCCCATCGCGTTGCCCAGCCCGTGTCCTGCCCCTGACACACACTTCCAAGTTCTCAGTCCTCAGGATCCCTACCCTGTGGGCGTTCCACTTGTACCCTGGGCCTGGCACACTGCTCTCTTCCCTGCAAGCTCATCAGTGGGGTTGGGGGTGTTCTGGGAACACCCTGGCTCTTAGCACCCCACTGTGGCCCCTTTTGTAGGCCAGAGGGTGGGGCTGGGCCTTCCCCTGCCCCAGCAGCCTGGTCCCCTGGGTAAGGCTGAGTCCCTAGGCATACCATTGTTGGAAGTCTTGTCCTCGCTGCCAGTGGAGAACTGCAGGTGCTCCAGCAGCTCATGGTAAGTCTCAGATGCGTCAGCCTGGCTCCCCTCCTCCACAGCAGAGCCTGAGAAATGGGGAGGGGAGGTGTGTCCATTACACAGCACGTGGAAGAGGGGGAGGTGTGTCCATTACACAGCATGTGGAGGGGTGGTGTGTCCATTACACAGTACGTGGAAGAGGAAGAGGTGTGTCCGTTACACAGCACGGGGAGGGGAGGTGTGTCCATTACACACTGCTGGCCCCAGTCATGTTGGGTATGATGATGGCCACAGCCTAGGCACAGGGACAAGGGCACAGGGGTTGGGGGAGGTGGCCACTGGTCTGCGCATTGTCCCTTGTGCATCCTGAGAGGTCTGAGAAGGTCCAAACCTGGACCATCCCAGACTACAGGGTATGCTAGGGGCTGGGGGCAGTCCACTATGGTTTCCAAGTGAGCCCCCAGGAGCTGCTGACACTTGGCCTGCTGTCTGCCATGGGCCACTCAATGCCATTGGCCTCCTCTCTCTGGACATGGCGTGGGGCACAGGCAGGCACCAGCTGGCCCTGACCGTGAGGCCAGGAACCGGGGGTGATATAGTCTGCAGGGTCCCAGGAGCCCGAGCTTCCTGCATATTGGCCACATGGAGGTGCTGCTGCCCACCTGGCATTGCTGCAGGCGGCTCTCGGGGTCAGTCTGGGACCTCAGGAAGCAGGGCTGGGGACAGCTGTACCTCAGCCTGACCACCCTGGAATCCACAATAAATAGCCTCACCGCCGTGGGCACCAGACAGATGGGTCTACATTGCCCTGTCCTTCCTGCCCATATGGTCCTGTCCTGCTGCCCACGTGACCTGCTGTCCAACTGTGTCCTGGGAATGCCCTGGACTTGGACATGGCTGGGATAGCATAGCTGAGTGTTCATGGCTGTGCCACTCAGGTCCACCGGGTCCACCCAGGGCTGCCCAGGGACACCTACAGCCACCCAAGGCCACCCAGGACTGCCCAGGGACCTCCTGGGACACAGCAGCCCAGGGACACCTGTGGCCATCCAGGGACATTTAGCAACACTCAGAGCCTCCTATGGCTGCCCAAGGCTGCTGTGTCAGGACTGCCCAGGAATGCCTAGGACTGCCCAGGGACACCTGTGGCTACCCAGGGATCCCCAGGGCCATCCAGGACTGCCCAGGGATGCCCAGGAACACCTATGGCCACCAGGGACACCCACGGCCAATCAGGGCCTCCCAGGACCAATGCAGACCCGAAGGGGACTTGCTTTTGTCCTTGGTCGTCATGGTGGACAGCATCGTGGCCGTGCTTTGTGTTTTAGTCAGCTTCGTTTTGTTGGGTTCCAGGATCTCCTGGACGAGAATCTCGTCTTGAAAGAAGCACAGGAGGACACAGTGAAGCCAGGGTGACACGGGACTGCTGCCCTGCCCATGCCCAAGCCTGGGGTCACTGGTGGAACGTAGCAGGTGCAGGAACTCGCCCCCGCCCCCGCCAAGTACACTCCCGCCCCTCCAGTAAGGAGCTGACTCCAGGGGCTCCTCACCAAAAACTCCAGGCATGTCTTGAGTTTTTGCATTGGGCGGCATTTCAGAGGCTTGATCTAGGGGAAGCAGAGTGCTGAGTTGTGATGTGGACATGGTTCTGACACCCCTGCCAAGGATGTGACTCGGCAGGATCCTCCCAGCCTGCTTTCCTGTCACGCGTGGGTCCCGAGACGGCCCCAGGCACATCCTCTGGGGCCTTGGTTTTCTCAGTTGGACAAGGGCAGGGAAGGTGCCCATGCCAGGGTAGCCCTCAGACAAACCCATGATCCCCTGACCTTTGGCCCCTGCCCCCATACCTGGGTGCTTGGAGCCCAGACCTGCCGCCTCGTATCTGGGGCAGATCCCAGAGATGGAGAGGAGGCGGCCGTAGCTCCAGGGAGGCTGGGCTCGGCCAGCTGCCCTGAGAGAGCAAAGGAGGGACATGGGTCCTGGGGATCCCTGGGGTCATCGGCGTGGAGGCCCTGGGGTTCCTGCCTAGGCCACGGCAGCCCAGGGCCTGCGGTGAAGGGGCTTGGCTCTCTCAGCAGGGTCTCAGCGCTGAGTCATCACACATGTCCTGCTGGGGAAGTGCGTCCGTGGAGCCCTGGGCTGTGGCCTAGGGCCGCCGGGCTGTGGTCCTTGAGTGCCAGTGCACAGGCTGGTGTGCCGTGGTGTCCTGCCCCAGCTCGTGTGTCCCAGCAGTGCCGAGGGGCTTGGAGTGGGAAAGGTATGCGTCCATGACTTCATGTTGTGGCTCTGTATGTGGGCAGGGATCCCCCAGGGGCAGTCCAGGGGCTCCCTGAGCAGACGGGCATGGGGTCTTGAGGGTGCGCCAGCCAGTCTGTCCCTGTCCATGGGGTGTGGCCAACCTGTCCCTGTCTATGGGATATGGCTAACCTGTCCCTGCCCATGGGGTATGGCTAACCTGTCCCTGTCCATGGTGTGGGCCGTCTGACCAGCAGTTTCAGTAGCTGTGGGACAGGAGCTGCTATGCCCCTCGCCACCAGCAGTATGCTGTGTGGCCATCCCAGCCTGGCTTCCTCCTGGGCAGCACACCCAGATGTGACTTCCTTCATCAGAGGCTGCCCAAGGGCCCAGTCAGGCCTGGCCCTTCCCGAGATGGGAGGGCGGGGTCTCTGCACCTTCCCTCCCAGAGCGCACAGCGTTCTGGGGGAATTTGAAGATGCAGCTAAACCAGGGACAAAGCAGTTTTCCAAATGGCAATAAAGACGACAATCTGCATCGCAATGGGCTCATCTGCTTGGGTGGGAGAACAATGTGGGGAAATGGGGAGAAAGGTCTGCTGGCGCTGTCCACACTTCCCAAGCAGCTACCTCGGGGAGGAACAGGCAGGCGCAGCCCTCCTTGGGCGGGACCTGAATGAGGCATCAAGAGCGGGCAGCTGTGCGTGCTAGCGCTTTGTTAAAAATAACCTCTTGTCTGTCCTGATTGCCAGTCAGCAGCAGGTGCAGCAGCCAGGGTTTGTAGTGTGACTTGGAGCGGCTGCACGGAGCCTGGTCGCCTGGAGCTGCCACCCTCTGCTCCTGCTGTCTCCTCCCCCCCGAGCCTTGCAGCCGGGAGCTGGCCCTCGGCTTGGTGAGACCGTCCCTTGTCTCATCCATGTGTGTGTCCTGCATGCAGGATCCACTGCTGAGTGTGGAGACTGTGCACCTCTGAGTGCTGGGACTGTGCCCTGTGCAGTGCTGGGACTGTGCCCTGTGCAGTGCGGGGACTGTGGCCTGTGCAGTGCGGGAACTGTGGCCTGTGCAGTGCGGGGACTGTGGCCTGTGCAGTGCTGGGACTGTGCCCTGTGCAGTGCGGGGACTCTGTGGCCTGTACAGTGCAGAGACTGTGGCCTGTGCAGTGCGGGGACTGTGGCCTGTGCAGTGCTGGGACTGTGTCCTGTGCAGTGCGGGGACTGTGCCCTGTGCAGTGCTGGGACTCTGTGGGCTGTGCAGTGCTGGGACTCTGTGGGCTGTGCAGTGCGGGGACTGTGCCCTGTGCAGTGCTGGGACTCTGTGGGCTGTGCAGTGCGGGGACTGTGCCCTGTGCAGTGTGGGACTGTGCCCTGTGCAGTGCGGGGACTGTGGGCTGTGCAGTGCGGGGATTGTGCCCTGTGCAGTGCTGGGACTGTGGCCTGTGCAGTGCGGGGACTGCCCTGTGCAGTGCGGGGACTGTGGCCTGTGCAGTGCTGGGACTGTGCCATGTGCAGTGCGGGGACTGTGCCCTGTGCAGTGCTGGGACTGTGCCATGTGCAGTGCGGGGACTGTGGCCTGTGCAGTGCTGGGACTGTGGGCTGGGCAGTGTGGGACTGTGGCCTGTGTAGTGCGGGGACTGTGCCCTGTGCAGTGCGGGGACTGTGGCCTGTGCAGTGCTGGGACTGTGGCCTGTGCAGTGCGGGGACTCTGTGGCCTGTGCAGTGCGGGGACTCTGTGGGCTGTGCCGTGCTGGGACTGTGCCCTGTGCAGTGCGGGGACTCTGTGGGCTGTGCAGTGTGGGACTGTGCCCTGTGCAGTGCGGGGACTCTGTGCCCTGTGCAGTGCTGGGACTGTGCCCTGTGCAGTGCGGGGACTCTGTGGGCTTCATCAGGACAGATAAGCAGAACCCAGGGTTGCTTTTCTCTATCGTCACCACGTCATGGCCATCCTGCCCCCATGCCTGGGTGTCCCATGATTCCACACATGGGAGAGCCATGCCCTGTTGCCCATTGCCCATCGTTGTCACACATGGAAACAGCCACACCTTATGTTCCATGGGAAACAGCCAGGTGTTGCCAGGTAGAGAGCCATGCCCTGTGACCAGCTCCTGTGTAATGCCCCCAGTATGGAGTGCTCCTGCAGGGGGAAACTCAGACAGCCCTTGAACTGCATTCAAGGGTGCACACCCAGACTCAGATGCAGCCAGGCTGCACAGTGCTGCCCAGGTCACTGTGCGTGTCGCCGTGGGCAGCAGAGAGGACTGCCCAGGTCACTGTGCGTGTCGCCGTGGGCAGGAGCAGTATGTCCTGAGCTTCAGCCTGTGGTTTCCTGTGCTGGCAGAGGGTCGGGGGTAGGGGAAGCAATAGGAGGCTGGAGCTGCTTTCTGAGGGCGGGGAGTCACCCTGTCCTGCTTCCGGTCTACACGGAGACGTCACAGGTAGCCAGGGCACTGTGGGGCAGTGCTGGGCAGGTCGCGGGCAGCAGGGCACAGTGGGCAGTGTGAGGGCAGGTTGCGGGCAGCAGGGCACAGTGGGGCAGTGCTGGGCAGGTCCTGGGCAGCAGGGCACAGTGGGGCAGTGTTGGGCAGGTCGCGGGCAGCAGGGCACAGTGGGGCAGTGCTGGGCAGGTCCTGGGCAGCAGGGCACAGTGGGGCAGTGCTGGGCAGGTCGCGGGCAGCAGGGCACAGTGGGGCAGTGCTGGGCAGGTCACGGGCAGCAGGGCACAGTGGGCGATGTGAGGGCTGGCAGCAGGGCACAGTGGGCGATGTGAGGGCAGGTTGCGGGCAGCAGGGCACAGTGGGGACAGTGCTGGGCAGGTTGCGGGCAGCAGGGTGCTGGCAGACATGCAGGGCCCCAGCTGACCACCAGCTAAGCAGTGCGCTTCCACCGAGGCTCGTGAGGAAGAGCAGTCTGTAGTCTGGCCAGGTGGGAGCCAACGGCTTCCGTCACTGGAGTCGGACGTGACTGTGGCAGCTTCTGTCCTGTTCTTTGTGGGCGAGCCCTGGCTGCACCCTCGACCTGAGAGCCTGAGCCCTGTGTCTCTGCTGAGATATCGTTGTCCCGAGCTCCCTGTGTGACGTGTCCCACCTGCACAGTGAGAACTGAGGCCTCGTGCACTTGGCCAGCTCTGCGGTGTTTCCTGGAGTGCTTCTGGGGCTGAGTTGGCGTCGAGGTCCATGTTGCACGGCTCCAGACTGGTTAAATGTTCAGAGCAGCTGGCAGGCTTGACGCCTTCTTGGTTTGAATTCTCAGGACCTCCAACTGCCCTGGGGAGTTTCCAGAGGGCCTGGGGCATCCGAGGGGGTGGTTGGGTCTCCTGGCGAGGGGACAGAGGTGGAATTTTCTAACTTTGTGGAACCATGTGGAAACTGTGGCCAGGCAAGGGTGCGTTGAGTCACATTTGTGTCATGGTTGAGCATAGGCAGGCAACATGAGTGTTTCAGGCCTGAGAGGACTTCCTGGAGTCTGTATGCCAGTGTCCCAGTGTATGCCTTGTGGCCCACGGCAGGTCCTGGGATACGGATCTTGGTCACAGCTCGGTTATGTCATAGGTAGTTGGTTCTGCTTGTCGGCTGCCTAAACGCTTGCTCTTCCCCAGCTCAGTAGCTACGGCCCTTCCAAGTCTCCCATGGCCAGACACTTGGCTGGTTCCTGAGGTCACCCTGGAGGCAGTGACTGGCAGTTTCAGTTCCAAGAATCCCCAGCAGCTTGTCGTCTGGCTTCCCAGCAAGCTCAGCGCATAGGTGTGGCCCGGAGCATGGGCAGGGGTGTCCAGAATTGAAGGCAGGACTGCCATCCATGTCCATACAGCGGCTGGTGCTAGATGGTGCAGAGCTGGGAGACACTGGAAGAGCTGGGAGACTCGGGGAGACTGGGGGAGACTGGGGGAGACTGGAGGAGACTCGGGGAGACTGGAGGAGACGGGGGAGACTGGAGGAGACTCGGGGAGACTGGGGGAGACCCGGGGAGACTGGAGGAGACTCGGGGAGACTGGAGGAGACTCAGGGAGACTGGAGGAGACTCAGGGAGACTGGGGGAGACTCTGGGAGACTGGAGGAGATTGGGGAGACTGGGGGAGACTCGGGGAGACTGGGGGAGATTCGGGGAGACTCGGGGAGACTGGGGAGGATTCAGGGAGACTGGAGGAGACTGGGGGAGACTGGGAGAAACGGGGAGACTGGGGGAGACTGGGGGAAATGGGGAGACTCTTGGAGGCTGGGGGAGACTCAGGTGGTCAGTTCAGGCACTGGAGCTACACAAGGTTTTGTTGAAAATGTTGCCAGCTGCTTAATAGTTTCAGGATTCAAAGAAGCCTTCTCCCTCAGCCTACCCCCAGCCCAGCTCTTAAGTCCATAAAACTTATGATACTTTGGTATTATGTTTCAAATCAGAGAGAGATTTGTGTTTTCTCTCCAGCCCTTGGCTGCAGAATTCAGAAACTCTGATTTGAGCAAATGACTTGCGTGAGTCCCCTGAGAATCCTGTCCTGGCAGCTGGGCACTCCTGGAAGCCTTGGCTGTGGGGCTCCGAGGCTCCCATGGAAAGGTGGGGTGCACAGTCATGCAGGGCCAATGGGGCTGAGTGTGATGCTCAGCAAACTGGCTGGGATGTGCCAGGCTCCCAGGAAGCAAAGTCCCACAGGACTGGGAGCCTGGGGTCTTGGGTGTCACATGTGAAGGCTGAGGATGAGTGCATGATCCATGAGGCTGCAGACCACTGACCTGAGGTTGACTAGGAAAAGCTCTGGCAAACCAGAAGTGTGGTCAGACATGTGATTAGATGTGTGGTCATGTGTGCGGTCACACCTGTGGTCATGTCTGGTCGTGTGTGTGGTCACACCTGTGGTCATGTGTGTGGTCAGACATGTGATTAGATGTGTGGTCATGTGTGCGGTCACACCTGTGGTCATGTCTGGTCGTGTGTGTGGTCATACCTGTGGTCATGTGTGTGGTCAGACATGTGATTAGATGTGTGGTCAGACCTGGGGAGGGTCATGTGGGTGGTCACACCTGGGGTCATGTGTGTGGTCAGACCTGGGGTCATGTGTGTGGTCACACCTGTGGTCATGTGGGTGGTCACACCTGCGGTCACGTGTGGTCATGTGTGTGGTCACACCTGGGGTCAGGTGTGTGGTCAGTCACAGTCCCTGTTCCCCTTACAGGAGGAATCAAGCTGGGTCCCCTGTGTCATGCGTGGCTCTTGTTTTCTTGGATCAAGCTCCGGGCGGGGAGTGAGGCATAGAGAGAAGCTTTTTTCCTTTAGGGTTTGTTTATGTATTCAAAAGGCCAGGAGGCTGAGAGCTGCCAGCTGCGGTTCATGGGCCAGGCTGCAGCCAGGAGCCAGGAACCCAGCCAGGTCTCCCCTGGGGGCAGCAGGGAGCTGAGGAGTCGGGCTGCTGGCTGCTGTCTTGCCAGGTGCATGAGCGGGGCTGGCTGGGAAGAGTGGACGAGCAGCCCTGGGCTACAGGGTGTGGGCACTGCAAGGGGCGGCTTAGCCGTGACGCCACCACCTGCCCCAGAAACGAGGGGCGGCGGCCTGAGATGGTGATTTGTTTGGTTAAACTTCTGGAGAACTGCACCGCGCCTCATGCCCTGTAACCCTCCTCCTCGCGGCCTCCTCCAGCACTGCCTGACCCTGGGTCTCCGGCCTCTGCTGAGTACCCCCAACCCCGGCTCCAGACGGTGTAGCAGCGAACCCCGACCTGTCCAGGCAGGTTTTCTCTAACCCATGGCATCCGCTGCCAGGGAGTGGCTGATGCACTCATGTGAAAGTGTCCACTCATGCACTCGAGCCATGTGAAAGTGTCCTGAGCGTGCGTGTGTGTCGGGGGGACACGGGGTGGCCGCAGACATGGTTACTGGGAATGCATGACGGTTCTACCCTCGCCCAGCTCAACTCGGAAAACTCCCGTGAGGGCAGCTAAGGTCAGTGACGTGGCCGCCTGCCCCGTGGAGCCCAGCTTGGAAACGGAGTGGTCCCCGGGGTGAGGGAATAGAGTGAGGCTCCTTGAGAAAGGTGCCAGACACCCCCACTCTGCCGGGCACCCGGCGGGCTTTACCTGAGGTCGTGTTGAACGGCTGCAAGTCTGCATTCCGCCAGCAGTACAGCAGGAAGGCAATCCGCAGGGTCCCTAACCATGTCATCATCATGGTCCCGCTGGCCAAGGAGCAGGTCCCTCTCCTGAAGGCCTTCAGTGTGGCCAGGTCTGGCTGGTCTCCAGGATATGTGGAATGGCAGGCACCTGTGACCTCGCGGCAGGAAGTGAGCCGGGGACCTGTGACCTCATAGCAGGAAGTGAGACACACTGTGACATCACACTGGGCTGTGAGCCGGGACCCTGTCCAGGTGCCTGTGACAACTGGACTGTGTGCAGGGCCCTGTCCTGTGTGGGAGTCACGATCAGGGTCCGTGGCTGGGAGGGAGGAGGTGGCCTATGAGGTTGTCAGGTGGCAGGTCCTCTATGCTGTCTGCCCGTCTGTCCTCATGGCCTGCTCTGTGTGACCAGGGGACTGGACTGCCCTCTGAGCACCAGTGGACAAGCCCAGCATGGTAACTACAGAGCGGAGAAGTCCTGGGCAGTGGCAGAGAGCCCGCGGCCCCGGGTGCCCATGGAGAGGTACTGGGCAGTGGCGGAGAGCCCGCGGCCCCGGGTGCCCATGGAGAGGTACTGGGCAGTGGCGGAGAGCCCGCGGCCCCGGGTGTCCATGGAGAGGTACTGGGCAGTGGCGGAGAGCCCGCGGCCCCGGGTGTCCATGGAGAGGTACTGGGCAGTGGCGGAGAGCCCGCGGCCCCGGGTGTCCATGGAGAGGTACTGGGCAGTGGCGGAGAGCCCGCGGCCCCGGGTGCCCATGGAGAGGTACTGGGCAGTGGCGGAGAGCCCACGCCCTGGGCACCACAGCCTCCGCCATCCTGGGATTTCCCAAGGGCTGTTGGTCACAGTCCTGCTCCTCCTGGCTCCCCATCTGGGGGCCCTGTCCACATTCCCATGCTGTGCCCTCGTCTCGCTGTCTCCGGAGCCCTCCTCTCCATCGTCTTCCTCCTGTGGAGGCCGGAGACCATCCGGGTCTTGCAATGGTTAAGTTTGTGTCAAGGAGGCGCAGACGTTCCAGCAAAAATGATTCCAGATGTTTCTGTGAAGAAATTTACATTTAAATGGATGGAGCTCGAGGAAGCAGATTGTCCTGAATTATGCAGGTGGCCTCGTCCGACAGCGGGCGGCTCAGGGAACAAAGGCTGACCTCTCGCAGCCTCAGCAGCCTGCCTGCAGCCTTGGGCGCTGGCCGTCCCCGGGGCTCCCTGCCCACTCCCGGAGGTGGGACACAGCCTGCACAGTGGGCCTGGGCCGGCTCCCCAGGCTCAATCTCTCCCTCTCCAGAGAAGAAATTAAAATACACACTTATTTTGGTGTAAAAATTTGAGATTCACGCAATTTCTTCTTACTATGTATTTTAATAAGCTTTCTGAAGACTCCAATTAGCATGGATGTTAAATTTACACCAAAGTATTTTTTAAAAAAATGTTTATTTACTTCTCACGTCCTTGAAAGGCATAGCAAGCGACAGGGAGGAACAGTGCTCGTCCACCCGCTGGTCACTCCCCAAAGGCCGGCTACAGCCAGGACTGGGCCAGGCCAAGGCCGGGAGCCAGGAGTTCCACCTGGGCTGTCTGTGGGCACCCAGGGCCCAGGCATTGGGCCATCGTCGACTGCCTCCCAGGGTACCCTTGTAAGAATCTGGGTTGGAAACAGCTGGGACCCACCCTGGCACATGAGACAGTGAGTTCTACCACCCTTGCCCGCAACTGCTCTCTCTTTAAAAAAAAAAATGCTTGAAAAATCAGTTACGGGAGGGGGACACACCGAGAGGCACTTCCGTCTCTGGTTCACCCCAGAAGGCCACAGTGGTCCGGATGGGCCAGACAGGAGCCACGGGCTTCTCCCACTGAGTGCAGGGCCCAGCATCCTCTACTGCTCCCCATTAGCAGGGAGCAGGAGCGGGACAGGAAATGGTGTTGCATCATAATCTCTCCCAGCTTAGCTTCTCGAAAATGACTGCTTCTTTGCCTTTCTGTATGGACTTTAGGGTCCTTTAGTCTGAGGCTGGCACCTTAACGGAAATCGCCTGCGAACCCACACCAACCACACTGAGCTGACCTGGTGATCTGTCCTCCGGCTGGTTCTCCGAGACCACAAGGCCTGTCTGATGACCTCGTCACTGACTCCTGTTCTCTGCCAGAAGCTGCTGGGGCATGGTGGAGACCTGGCATGTGCCCAGGCAGCTACTTGGGGCTGGGGAGCATCTGTGATAGCTGCCTTCCCCCTCGGCAGCAGGTCACCCTGACCTCCGCCCTGGAACCTGCCGGCCCTCTTTGCTCGTCCCACCTCAGGTGGGTTGGGCTGCTCTAAGACTCGGTTCTCACTTGTCAGGAAGCAGGGCCCCGGCTGGCCGCACTCTGGTCAGGTACTGCCGGGACTACGGCCCTGGTCCTTCCAGGGGAGTTGGGCAAACATGCCTCATTACTGCCCTCTGGTGGCCCCAGGCGACACCTTGGTGCCGGAAACCTCACTGTGGCTGGGCGGCCATCACTATCCTTGCAACGGGTTCTGCATCTCATCCCCACGGCGGGGCTCCTCTGGCTTCTTGCTACTCCTGTGCTGGACAGGGCTGGTGTGCTGCTGTGTGAGTGGCCGTCAGCTGCTCCCTGGCCTTCTTCCGGGTGAGTGGCTGTCGCTGGGCTCCAGAAGGACTTCCTGGCCTGTGGTGTTTGCAGGTGCTGCTGCGCTGTTACTTTCTGGGCTGGGGTGACCCTGGATGCTATTTGGAGGGGTTAGCAGGGCTGGGTCCTCCTGTGTGCTGAGCACGGGGGCCGGGAGAGGCTGTGCCACCGGCACATGCTGCTCTAGGTTCCATGTCCGCAGAATAAGCTCAGCTGTGCCCAGGAGCCGAGTTGAGAAGGCCCAGCCGTCAGGAGCAGCGACTGCTGGACCACATCTGAGCATCAGCCGCTCCCCACTGATCATGCGGAGATCAGAAAGCTGTTGCTTTCTCTGGTGGAAGGGCCCTATAGACTATTAATTGGCAACACATACCAGCCATTGTTTTAAAAGCAGATGTGACGTTGGCTATTAGAATGGAAGCTCTGTTTTGGAAAAGGGAATGTAAAAGGAATGTAATTGGAGATGTATATAAACAGTGGTTAAGTTGCCGCTTCTCGCAGGCGTGTGTGACAGCTCAGAGCCGTGCCTTGCTGCATGTGCCATGGATGTGGAATGAGGCCTGGGGGCTGTGTTCAGGTGTGCCCATCCCCTTAGCTGGGGCACGGCCTGCGGCTTGCTGACTGCTACATGGGGGTGGGACCTGAAGCATGCTGTCTCGTCTGGTCTTACCGTCTGTGTCGTGGTCTCCTTTCCCTTTGTCTTTACTAAGCCTTTGAAAGGAGATGCTGTGAGCCACGGGCTGTGTCAGGCCCACGGCGCACTGGCGTGTCCCCCCCTTGCGGGGAGTTGTTCAGCTGATGTTATCGAAGGCAGACACCTGGGTCCAGCCTGGGTCACAGCGGGCTCGGCCAATGGCCAGTCCATGGTTGGGGGATCTGTGCTGACCAGCCATGCTGCGGACTGGCCAGTGCCCCCCACCAAGGTCTGGATTGTTAAGGTTCTGGGGTTTTTATGTAGACAGAGTGTTGGGAAAGCCCTGCGTTCAGAAGCTGCTGGACTAGGACTCAGGGCCCGAGCCGTGGTCTCTGTCCAGTTAGTCACTGAACAGAAAAAAAAGTCCCTGTCTGCAGGTGGTCATCATGGGCTAGTCTGGTGCGGCCTCAGACAAATTTGGAGCGTCCGTGTGTGTACCTGTGTGTGTGGGAGCAGGAGGTGGGGATGCCTGTTGAACATGGAACACGGTCATGGTAAATTTAGCAGCTAATAAAAAAAGATCGCCAAGGGAAGACTTGGACCAAAAAAACACCGTTCACACCATATCCCGGCTGTGCGCCTGCGGTGGCGTGGGCCGACTTGCAGGGCAAACGTTCTCTCCTCGTACTCCACCACCTGCCTTACCCCGCTGCCACACCATGCCTGGACAGCTCCTGGTGGAACTGTGAGGGGTGGGAAGGGGGCAGTGTCAGTGTGAGAGTGGCAGCTAACATGCACTGCCACACCCACATGCCTTCATGCCATGTGGTAGCGGGTCACTTGTCCAACACTTGACCCCGGCAAGTGGGATGGGCTCGGGCTGCTGCAGCTGAGTCCAGCGCCTCTAACCTCAGGGAGAATGGCTCAGAAGTGCACAGGTGGCAAGCAGTGTGCAGATTGCACACGTGCTCATGGACGCTGTGGCTGACAGGGAAGGGCGGTGTGGTGCACAGTGCCCAGTGTTTGGCTGACGGTCAGTCTGCCCTTCACCTTGGTGAGAACTCCACACAACTTGTGATGTGTCTGGGAGCTGAAGTCACTGGGGGAAGCAGCCAGAGCTGAGCTGGAACGCCGGATGGTAATCTGCTCGTTAGCCACACCATGCATGTACCACACGTGTGTACACACCACACACGTGTACACATCACACTGTGTGTACATATCACTGTACCGCGTGTGTGTGCATGTCACAATATACCACACGAATGTGTATATCACATACCAATAGCATGTCACACACGTGCACACACGTACATACCACACAGCACACACGTGTCACACACCCACATCAACTACACATGCACACAACACAGGTACACGTGTCACATATCCCCATGCATCCACACCTTACCATGCATATATCACATGCTTACACAACACAGACACACAGCAGATATACACATTTACAAGTGTGTCATGCAGATGTACACACAGCACACAAGCACACACATACCGCACACAAACACATCACATCTCACACGCACACGCATAAGAGGTTACCAAGGGTGAGTGGAGCAGCCAGGACTTGCACAGGCATTTTGGAGGATGCTGTTGCATGCCATGGCTTCAGTTACCACGTGCAGTGCCAGCCCTGGGCCCGGTCGGATGCTTGCAGGCATTGGTCGGGTCCGAGTGGGGCTTGGTCGAGATTTGAGGACTGCGTGTCGGGTCTGAGTGTCCGGGATTTGAGGACTGCATGCCGGGTCTGAGTGTCCGAGTGGGGCTTGGTCGGGATTTGAGGACTGCGTGTCAGGGTTGGCTTTCGTTCACAAGGCCTGTGGTGTCAGCTTGGCTGCAGCTGAC